TTATCTTTGAAAGTCTCTCCTTCAGCTTCTCTTTCTTTCTGAATCTTTTTTTCTGTTCTTCTTTCTGTTTCTTTTTTCTTCTTTCAGCTGCTTTCAAGAGACTCTGGATGTACTTAGGCTGACAGCATTTCATTAGAGGAGAAAGAAACAAGTAACAGATTAAAAAAAAAAATATATATATATATATATATATATATATTGAGTTTACTACATTTCTGTGATGAACTTGAACTAAACTTTTTACTCTACCTTCTTTTGGATGGTAACAACTAACTTGTATAAAAACTAAATAAAAGAAAGTTCCTTTTTTTTTCTCTCTCCATGATAATATTTTTTTCAAAATAAAAAACATTAAAGTTAAAAATTAAAGTTATTGAAAAACATAATTTACTAGTTCTGCAATGTTGTCTCTGACTTAATGTGCTTCATACAAAGGTTCAGCTAGTGTAAAATACAGATTTTTCCCAGTCAGCACATCCTACACTAAAGCCAAAATGTACTGTAGTATATGGATAGGGATGTTAACACCAGTTACGTCAATCACAAAACTTTAATGTGAATGTCTCTTTAAGATATCATCTGGAAAATGTCTGTACTGATATAGCAGGATGTAATTAATATTTCACAATGAATAACTTTAGTTTTAAAAGTAAACAGATATTAAATACAAATTTTTGGATTTCAAGAACCACAAATGGGTTATTTGAAAAAAGTAATTATTTACTTTAATAACCTTGGCAATGTAAGACTGTAGGACTTTTAAACACGTTATTGATTAATGTAGTAATGAGGAACATAACTGCAGAGGTCCTGCCATTTGGGAACTATCATTTGTTATCTAAAGGTAATTTTGCCAAATTATACCAAATGGGACTCTACTTTTTATCATTTTCCAGCACCTAAATCTTAATTTTGATAAATCTACCGTGAACCAATTTATCAAGGGTGAGCACTTTCTTCCCAATATTCAGAATAGCAATTTTTTTAAAAGTTTCCATTAGAAATTTAAACACTGATATTTATTTCATGTTATTACATTACAAAATGCTTCTAGGTTAAATTTATCTGTATAAAACTCTTGAAAATTCAGAACTAAACCATCCAATTTTTCATTTTTTTTTGGATTGATATATACATACAGACAAAGGAAGCCAATATTTTAAAGGAAGATCTTTCATTTAAAACACATTATTACTTTCAGTGCTTGAGACACTATAGAAATTTTGTGTCTTCCCTACTTGTGTATTATCCCTGGAATGTTCCCTTTTAAGTTAAATAAAGATCAGCTCAATTTTCTTCAAATAGAACATGAAATTAATATGACTCACAGTTATTTGGCCATGGAAAAAATAATCTATTTGAAATAGCAAACAACATTTTAACTGCAGCACACTGGTTGACATGTAGAAATAAATGTAAAACAGTCAAGTTTTGTTTTGGCAGTTAAATTGATTATAAAAATTATTTTAAGACTAATTTTTTTCTAAATTTAATATTTTTATAATGAAACATATTCATTCAAATGTGAACTTTTACTGTTTCAATGACATTTTTGATGTCTGTCATCATGGACAGATGTAATTAACTTCTTTATCACAGTCCAGACAGCTATTAAACAGTACTAACATATAAATCAGTAATATATTTAACAGATCGTTACTGTCCGTAAAGATCAGCGATAGTCGCTTCTACAAACATGGTGAAAGAAATTACGATAAGAATATTTATATTACATCTAGGTTAGACCAGTTTTATTGTGTCATAATAGAAACTGCAGGTAATTCCATAAACTAGTTTTAGCAAAACTTATTTTATTTGTAACTCGTTTTGTTTTCAAAGCAGTATAAATAGATACAACTTAAACACATTGGCTTAAGAGTAAAATGTAAAAAGGAAAATAATAGAACCTGTCTCACATATTGAATTTCTTGGTTCATAAAAGTTTGTTAAATGAATCAATCATCAATGGTATACCAAGAGAGATTATTTTAAGATAAATTTATGTTACATAATATCAGAATTACCTTATGAGCATTGGAATTGGATGACTGCTTGGCTGCTTCTTTCTTTCTATGAATTTCATCATATATGTTGTCATACTCGTAAACTGTGGGGTCTTCATCTATGGCTTTTTTCATTTCTAGCTGAGTCTTTGTAATTAAGCCAAACACAATTATTTATGCTCAAGGACTTTTCTTTTTCATGTTTTAATGATTACTGGGGTTTTTTACTTCAGAGCTTAAAACTATTCTATGTCTCTTTGATAACTAGAAAGTATTTTTTAAAAGCAAACAACATCAGTAAGTTTCAATGACCATATTTAATAAATAAAAATCAAGCATCTGATTAATTTATAAAACAAAGAAATGTTTATCTTAAAGACTGTGTGTAATTGAACTGAAAGTAAGCTTTTATGTTGAAACAAATACATACCTTCAAAACAGATAAAAACTATGATAATTTTTTGATAACAAAAGACTAAATTTAATTATATTCATAGCTTTTCTTGTATAAGTTAAATAACATTTAAACAAAATAAGATTCATCATGAATAACTGATTCAGAAATAAAGAGGAAAGTTAAAGTTTACTTATTCTTTATTTTATTTTGAATTTTTAAGGCAAGTTATACTTCTTAAACCTTATCAATTTAATGGTGAGTAAAAATCCACTGTTGTACACTAGAATGTCAAAATATTATTCTGTAATTTTAGTTTTTTACATAAAGTTTAAGAGGATAAACATTTATTCAGTAACATGTAGTTATTCTATAAAATTATTCCACAAGTTTTGCCATTATGGGTCTTGTCTGATGTAGTGTGCAATTAGATATTGATAAAATTATTATTTTCTATGTGTGAATTTTATAGGACTTGAAAACAATGCAATTTATCCTATACGAGTGTATTCAGTGGCAATATTACAGCTACAGCCTTGGATTTTCTGATCCACAGCCCAGAATGCTAACCATTAGGCCTGGGGTCGACAACCCTTCAAAGAAGAAGACAGTGGAAAGTCTAAGGATTTACAACGCGAAAATCAGGACATGCCAGATAGCCCGAGAGCTGCACACATCTCATTAAAGAGCCACAAGTTGCCGACCCCTGCACTAGGCAATGCCTGACCCTTGAGAAAATTATTAAACCAGAATCATGAGGAATACCAAAGTTAGTTAAAATCTAAAAATGAATATCAACAATAAAAGAAGTCAATAATTATAATTAAAACACTATTATTGATGATACTAGTGATTCATTTGTTACACTTTAAAAATAAAAGCTTTGTCTTAAAACAAGATGAGGAGATTTTCAATGCAATTAATAACAAGTTTTTAATCTAGAAAAATCAAGATTAAATATATTTAAATTAAAGTTTTAAGAAATACTAGAAAAGCCTGATGTCAATAATTAATAAACACTTAAGTAGGTTTCTTAGAATTACTGGATACCAGGTTAATCTAAAGTATTAAAAAAGACTCCAAGTAATATTTGAATTCCTCACTCTAGAGCTAAAACACCTCCAACTTCAATATGCTTGTATTTTAACCATAATAGAAGCTACTACACTGTAAAATTTTATGGTGATATATAAAAACATTGGTGTGATTGTGATAAACAATAAAATTAATGTTAAATAAATATTTAATTGAAATATACATGCATTTATAAAAAAAAACAAAAAACATAAAGTATTTAGTTATTTTAAGTTTTAGAAAATAAGTTCTTGGTCATGAAAGAGATACTCCTTTAAAATTTATTTTGGGGATTATAATTTCTGGAGTAATAAGTTCTCACATTCTTAAATTTGAGCTCATTACATCTCATATAACAATTTAATAATATCTCAAATTAAGTTACTTTTGTTATTATGCACAAAGCTATGCAATGGGCTATGTTTGGTCAGCCCACCATAAGTATTGAAACCTAATATTTAGCATCAGAAGCTCTCAGACTTACTGCTGAGCCACTGGGGGGCCTTGAATTAGATGATTTGTAAGTGCAACACATATCAGACTAAAGTAAAAAAAAAAAATCAGAATTTAATTTCTTGAATACGTATAGCTGTATTAATTCTATCAATGTGAACATTTATAAAAAATTCAAATTTTCAAATGAATTGTCATGAAGATAAAAAAAAAAGCAGAATTTGAGACAATTTACTCTACATGAGTTACTTGTTTCAGAAGGATTTCTAGAAAAGACATGAACATGTATTTTCTGGTTTCAGGAAACAAAAAACAAATGGCTAGCCCTCACATAGTGTCTGCATACTTTTACATCAAAAGCATGACTACCCATTAGAGTAACAAACATCAGGGTTCTATTTTAACGGTCATCCGAGATGACTAAAAACTTCCTCGGACGACCAACTTTAACCCTAGTGTTGTCTGATGGACGACTAGCCCCCTGCAACAGACTTTTACTCAAAACAGCATTGCAGTCTACTGTACACTTATCCATTCACCCACTACACATGTAATGTTGACTCTGATCATTGACAAAAATCATCCATAAATTCCACAACTATGAATTTGAAAGTTTAAACCACCACAAAAATATCTTTTGGTCCATTTTTTATTAAAAAAAATTGTATTTTGTACAAGAGAAATATTGGTACATTCCACCAAAAAGGGCTGAAAATGTTAGGGATTGTTTGTTTTGGTGATTGACTAATAATGCTGTTTTAGTCACTAAACATTCTATTGTGGACAAGCTGCATCTCTGTGCTGTTTTATGCATGTAACTTTTGTATGGAGCAGGAAAGGCTGGCTATGTGTGGTAAAACAGTACAGTGTATACAGCTCAGTTAGTTACATTACCACACATTGCATTACACAATGTTTGTATGCATATACATTGAGAACACAAATATTTAGGGAAATTAATTTCTAGTGTAAATGCTAACGACAATAAAATTAACATGGCTGCCTCAACTTCTTAACGATAAACCTTCAGTAGGAACTAAAATGATAAAATTTATAAAATCAAACTTACAAAACAAAATTTTCATCATTAATCGTCAAAGTTGAAAAACTGACTCCCTTTCGATTATTAGTTGACTAAAGATCCAAAACTGCCAACTTAACATTAATTGTACTTTTTGGAAATAAATAAGATATAAACATCAAAATTCTTGTAATTGTGTCTTTTTTTTTAGGGTCTTTGTAAATACATCAATATTGTTATAACTGGATCTTTTTTGAGAGTCTATGTTTTTTTTTTTCATACAACCAATAAAGCCTTATAGACAACCTCTGATAAAGGTCAGGTTGTCCTTAGGACAACCTAGAAATTGCTTTAAAATCGAGCCCTGAAAAACAACAAAATAAACACCCATAAACTGGTTTTAAAGGAATATTTCAGCACTATCTGTATATCCAAGATCATTTTTATCACTCACTATAGAATCCATTTTAACATTATGTTACTATACGGATAAATTGCTGGATTCTGTTGAGAAATTTTAGGTATAAGAATCGGTTACCTTAAATGCAGTAAGTGTCTCGTGTGTGATCAGAAACTATTAAATCAAAAGAAGCATAATGTACATTTCAGCTGAATAAGGTTTTTTAGTTTAGTTTGTATGTTGGACTGAAGTTTATGTTCTGGCTTCACTTACTTTCTACAATCTTAGATGCAAAGAAAGGACACAGGAAAACTTTACCTGTTTTTTAATTCTATTCTTGAATGATTCCTTCTTAATTGTTTGTTCCAGAGAAGTTGCAGCATCCTATGAATGAAAAACACCAAACAAAGAAAAAACAATTGTTACTGATTGCTCAAGAGACATTGTAGCATCCTATGAGTAAAAAAAACAGAGAATTAATTGTTACTCATTGTTCAAATGACATTACAGCATTCTATGAGTAATAAAACACAATTCATCAGTTTTTTTGGGAGAAAGCAAAATTACAGCATAAATACATTGGAATAAAAAAAAGCAGTGATTAATGTTAACATTTTCCTAAATGGACTCAGGAACCATGGAAGGGAGAAGTATGTGTCAGGTAACCTCGGAGAGCCCTGACTGGGCAAAAGTGGGAAAAGGAGGGAAGGGAATAGAATTGTGAGACAACGGGGGAAGGAATGGAAGCAGAGAACCAGGTATACTGAAACGACTTTCAGAATCCACAGATCAACCTTCAAGGATCTCAAAAAGTAGGCAGTTGAAAAACGTCTGGCCCCATCAACCCAGATTCTAGAAGGGTAGTAAGAGTAAGACGAATACAGGAAAACATAATCAAATTACTTGGATCTGATCCCCATTAACTGAGAAGTTACACCAAATGCTGTGAATCCAAATAAGGAAATTTGGAACAATGATAATCAAAAGAATAACCATCCACAGTATGTGGGGTCGAGGCATACTGATCTCCCAAATGCAAATGCTGCCCAAAATTTCACACACGAACCCCAATATCCAAGGAAGGAGGAAACACTAAATAATGACCCCAAGGCTTATCCCTGAGAAAGGCAGAGGTTGGAAACAGGAAATAAGTACAGAACATAATATACCTGAATAACAAGTCCACCAAAAGGGAAAGGAGTCTGGGCAAGTCTCCCAAAATGACAGGTAACTCTGAGGCATATCTAAGAGGGGGGAAAAGGCTACCCAAATCCAAAATTAATATATCACTGAACACATTGTGAGGGCAATCATCAGTGTGTTCTGATGTGGCATGAAATTGGTCAACTCCTGACCAGAGCAGTCACTTCATGGGCCGAGAATCGTGGTTTCAACCTGTTGGACATGGTCAGCAATTCTGCTGCCGCAGTAAGAGCAGTCATAGTCATAACCACCTGAAACTGCAAGTGCATAACTAACAAAATCAAACGAGGAAAGAAGATAAAATAAAATAAATCACAACTCTCTAAGAAATGGAACGAAAATGTAAAATAACAAAATAACTAAGTCAGAAATTCACAAAAGTAAAAATGTGTGGATAGATTAATTAATACATGAATGAAAAACGTCTAATCAGTAGGACTGTCAATCTAGAGGTGATTAGAATGAGCATGATTAAAGAGGGTGCTAGTTACAATAGGATTAGTGTCACACTCCTATTGGTGGAGGGTTCCTGCATGATCACTTGCATGTTAGTATACAGTAATAAGTGGGAGTAACAAGGCTAGAGGCGAGTGAAAGTTTGTACTAATAGAGGGCAGTAGAAGATGAGAAAGCAAGATATTGTATCAGAAAATAGTATTACAGAAAAAAACAACATAAAAACTCTTTACAAATTGCAGTGGTTTTTAGTTTTCAAGGAAATTTGTTTGAGGACTTGCTACTTAATTTTAATTTGTGAGAAGACTATCTACTAGTTGAAGCTAAATAAATGTATGTCAAATTCTGCCACAATAGGCCAATCAGCAGGAAACCTCCTAGTTGTAGACCAACAACGGAATACTTTCCATTTGCGTTGGTACATTTCCATGGAAAATGGACAGATGGAACCAGATAACAAGGAGGCAGCTTGATGTGTGAAAACAGATTTTCTCACCAAGGACTGGACAAAAACCAGACATGAAGATACAGGATGTAGGACATGTGACTGAGGTTGACAAAGAAGATAGGGAGAAAGTGGAAGAGGGACAGGACGGGAGAGGAGCAATCACTGTAGTCGTGGAAACCAAGGCTGAGCTGAAGGGTAATGGGGGTGGAAAAATGATCCATAGGAAGGTTCCATCGATCATGAAGTACTCACTGAAGGGATCTCATATGGGCACGACTGAGGGGGACCAGTGATGTCAATGATGATTACATTCTCTAAAGCAATAGAACCTCGCGAGCAATAAGCGACTGAACCGAAAGGGCATGGCAAACCAACAGTTCCAGTGAACAATGATGTAAAGGAGAAGGTTGGGCCCGACTGATACGAGTGTTGAAAAAGATCCCTAAATGGACAAGATATTGAGTGGGTTTTCCAACTTGATCAACCAGCGCATCCAAGCTGCCACAGAAATAATCTACTATGTACAATTGGCCAATTCCTGTTCAGAATGAGCCAGGAGAAGCCTGTCATCCATGCAATAATGAAATCACAGCCACAGAGCATGGTGATGTCGATGGAAAAGCTCGGACTGCTCAGCAAAATACAGAAGTTGCTGAGGCAAGTCAGAAGGGGAGGGCCCATAATTAATAAATCACTCAGAAATATTCAAACCTAAGATAAGGATGAGATTGAGGTGATATCGGTATATGTAGGTTAGCATTGGAGATATCCATTTTGGTCATCTACAACCCTGGAGAAAATGTTCATCTCAGGGTGAGAAAAGACTCCATGGTGAACCGGGGTTGTGAAATGAAGCAATAGAGGTGAGATAAATTGTGTACCAGCTACTAATCCCTGGTTTTCTTGGGGACAACATAAAGGCAGGAATAAAAACTCCAGGAAGGATGGAGAACAGGTTTGATGGCCCAGTGCAAGAGCAATTCCCAAATAGCTTCTGACAGATGCTGGCTGGTCATGGGATCTCGTGGAGGAGGGAAGGAAATGTGGCAAGGAGAGGTGGGAGGTGGGGAAGAAACTGGACAATGAATCCTTTTTACAGAACAAGAAGCACTTATTGATTGCTGACAAAGGAATGCCTGCAATGAAGAAACTTGAACAGCTGAGATCACACAAGACCAGAACCCACTGGCTAGTCACAAGCACTGGTGGTGATGAGGGGTGCATAGTCAAGGAAAGGAATGAGAAGAAGTATCCCGAGTATAAGGTATGAATAAGGGTTGGGAAGGAGAATGACAAGAAATGGTAATTGGAGGCATATGAGGCTCTGACTGAGACAAACGGGCTAAGATATTTGTTAGGGTGGATTGTTGTTGGACTGATGTCACTTGAGGCTCTAAAGTTTCCAGGACTGTATCAAAAATGTAAAGCCTCAGAAAGGGGGTCATATTTAATCCGTAAGATATGTCGAGGGTAAACGGACCCAAGCCAATATGGCATCATGTCCTATAAGGTCCCAACAACAAAGAAACCACATATGTAATGCCAGAGATGATGAGGACATGCAGGCTAAAGTGGAGGACAGAAGGTCAAGGTTATCTCCAGAAAACCCTTCAGGATTACTGTGGAGAGCCTCAGATAGGAGATTTGTAAGGATGACACAAGCGAGAATATTGGGCATGGGTAAGACTGACAAATGATTCAGAAGCTGCCCCCCAAATAAACAATAAAGAACCTAACAACTGCTGGTCCAAAAATGGGTAGTCAGCATGATGGTAGGAAAGTGCGAACTGATCTGAAGTCTGTGTGGGGTGCAGCATGTTAATCCCCTCACTTAATTGCAAGGCAAAGTGATCAGCATGAACCCGAATATCAGATGAGGGAGGAAAAACCAATAGGGTTGGGAAGATTGTTAACTTTGGAATTCATTGCACAGAAAGGTTCACCAAATTCAAATGCAGAAAATATGGCAACTAGCTAACTGATAAATACTAATAGAAGAAATAGGCTGAATGAAAGCAAATTAAATTAAAAAACAACCACTTTGTGAGGAAACAAAGTCAAATATGAAGCATTAAACAAGCAAAAGAGCATGTCCAAACACAAGTGCTGCCAAAGAAGAAATGATAGTTTGGTAGAGTGAAGAGGGAGTCACATGTGTCACATGAGCATGTCATGCTCTTATTGGTTAGGTGATGATGCATGATGATTTGCATGCGAGACATGTTGGAATCTTGCAATTCCAATATGGGGGGAGGGAAGGCTTGTGGCATGTGTAAATAAAAAGTTCGCATATAGAGGGCAGCACTGAACAAGAATAGCTAGTCTTGTAATAAGAGATAAGCCCCATATCTGAAGACCTATTTAAGCATCAGTCATCTAGTGATAACATTTTCCCTAACTGAAAATGTATTTCCTATAGATACTCAACTCTTTACACATATTAGCTATTTTCCTCTCGAAGTCATGCTAATCTGCCTGAGAAACTTGCATGCTATCAGCCTTGTGAAAACTCCCACCTAAAATTCACAGTAAACGTGAAATCATGCTACAGCATGATTTTGTTTGACCAGTCAAAGGCCAAAACATGTTTTCAGTACATGATTACATTTTTTTATTTTTAGTCTACAAATTATAACCTCATAATATGTAGAGAGAGCTACCTTGACTGATACAAATTAACAACAAAAAATATTCTGGAGTCATTCTTTGATTCATAATTCAATTAAGATAACTGCTTTGCATATTATTTATACACATATATTAGCAATATTTTTGACTTTTAAATTTCAGATAATTTGTTAACTCTGATGGTAAGTTTGCACTAAACCAATTATAACTTTCACCACTGTGTGGTAGTTCATATTTGGACGTCAGCTTAAATAAGTGAAACTTTTATCACAGTACAGACACAAGGTGTTGGTTAGAATATTTAATATATCTTTATTATTTCCAGTTTGATTTATGTTTATAACTTTTTATAATGATTATTCAGTATTTTTAACTCAGTATATGGATTTAGGACTAATCTAAGCCTCCTGGACTGGCCAAATCTTATGAGATATTATTGGGTTAATGGCCAAAAAATGGTTAACAGCAAGGATACCCAACTGATGAAACAATGTATTCTAATCATTATAAGTAGTATACATATATACAGTATGTAAAAATAACACAGGTTTTAAAAATGCATAATAATGTAGTTTTAGTATATACACTGCATACTTTAAATGAATATTTCAAAGCAATGGCTTCAAATACAAGGTTTAATTACACAAAATTACAAAATTTAATATTACGAGTAACATAGCATAAGCTTTGGAAAATCAAATTCATACCTGTTTTTTGACAAAATAATTTCTCAGTTAGACTCATAAACTTAATTTGTCAATGTACAAAAGTATCAGTATAACTTAAGTCAATGTAGGTGAATAAAATTTCCACTGAAGTAAATTTGTCTAGATTGAGACATTACTAAACTAAAAACAATCTCACATTACTGTACAGATTTTTTTATATAAACATATATCAAAAGTAAGAAATAATTAAATAAGTACATACATAAAGTCCTCAAAATAGCAACTACCTAACAATATAACAAACGAATGAACTTTATTATTCAACAATAGGGGAAAGAATAAAGAAACTTAAGTCGTATTATCATTTTCAGGTCATCATGATTGCATTTACACAGTATACAGAGATGTCTTACCTCTTCCTCACTTTCATTGTCAAATACAGAAGTTTTCAATGCCAGTTGGGATTTTTGTGCTTTTTTGGGAATAATAAGACCATACCTATAAAAAAAAAGATTTTTAAATGATATATTACACTTCAAACTAATTTTAATATTATGAATAATCAAATGTTTATGCTGGATTACAGTATGTTAGTGAGTTAAAATTTTCATAAAAAGAAATAAGATACAACATTTCGGGCAATGTCCTTCTTCAAGTATCACTAACTGAACAGTAAATCCGTAAACAAAAACATTCTAGATCGAAGGTGATGTGACAATGTGACAAATATATATGTATAACAATGCTCATAAACAATGGAAACAATAGAAAGTGATAAATAAATAAATATATATATGTATACAAGCACGTGCACACATATCTACACATATATACAGGTATACCCAAATGATTATACAAATACATATATACACATATACATTATAGTTTAAGAAGAATAGATACATAATTTACTGTATAAAACTTTTTAAGAAAGGATAAAACTAAAATCGGAAATATTACAAAAATCTAAAATGTTCATTTAGCCCATCGAAGTGAAAAGTTCCCAGGTCAATTAGTAATGAAGTAGACTATTAGTAATGAATAAGACTCTTGGTAATTTTGAATAAACCCAATGACAATCTGTTTGGTATTTCCAAAAAATTCTATTAGTAATGAATAAGACTCTTGGTAATTTTGAATAAACCCAATGACAATCTGTTTGGTATTTCCAAAAAATTCAATACCAATATTCATACTTATTTTAATAAGAAAACTTATCAAATTTATCTACTATTTTCCTGCTTAATTTAGCCTTCACACCCAGAATTAGTGCAGGTGATTATTATAAGTGCAAGATCACTAGGCATAATTGTTACCTAATGTATGTGGAATAAAGATACTCAGATCTCTGGTCTACTAGTAATTACCTCATTACATTTTTTTAGCTTCAGTATTACTACTACTGTTAATAATTAAACCAAGCACTTTTAGTTCTATTATTTACAAAGTTCTTTAACACTCATAAAATGTTTGACTCAAAATGTTAAATGAAAGAGTGCTTGTTCTAATTATTAGCACTGGAATCAACATACATCACTATCTTCCTGCCAACTTACCACTCTTACACAACTCCACAAAAAAAGTTGTCACTTTAAAGCTAACATGGATTCACTAAAGAGAAATCTTGCCTTATTAATTTATTAACTTTTTTCAAGGACATTACTTACTATCTTGATGATGGAGAAAGTGGATACTTGTGCACATAGACTTACAAACAGTTTTAATAAGATGCCATGTAAAAGATTAGCTAACAAAATTGCATAATAGAGGTTGAAGCTTTTCTGTAAGGTGTTTGGATGAAAGAAAGCAAAAGGGTTCAGAGAATGGCTACTAAAATTATTTCAGGAATGCAAGGGCTATTTTATAGGGATAGGTTAAGATCTCCTACCCTATTTTCTCTTTAGAAGAGAAGGGTAAGAGGCAATTTTATTGAAGTTTATAAGTTTATCAAGAAGACTGATAGGATAAAGGGCTCTGTTTTCATTGTGGTGCATTTTGAAGACAAGACGAAAGGACACAAGTTTAAGACTTGGTAAAAAAGCAAAGATAGGCTAGGATCCAGTTAACAGTTTTATTTCACCAACTATATGATTAGCTTACAGAATGAGATACTGTCAGCAGTAATGGAGGTCAGCACTTCAGAAGAGTTTATGAAAGAATTCAATGATTTCTTGGGATATAAAGGGTAGGTTTGAATTTTTTACTTTTATCAAGAGTCGGTGTGCAAGGGCAGCCTGGAAATGTTGAAGAACTAAGAGTTCCCTTGTTATCCATGTGTTACAATGAGTCATCTTAATGATGTTTAATAGACTGTCCATAGTCTGTTACTCATTGAAAACATCAACTGACATAATGTTACTTGTGATGTCTCTTGATAAGTGATGCCAGCCAAAAAAACTTATAATAATATTAAAAATGTTAATAATAAAAGCTGTTTGGATTGTAGAAAATATTAACATGGTACAAGTTACAACACTATGCAGAAGAAGGTAATCTCTTGATTAATATTAACATATATTATAATAAGAATCACTTTTTATTTCCATCACCAAAAATGATGGAGGTTATGTTTTCACCCTTATGTGTGTGTGTGTGTGTGTGTTTGTCAGCACGATTTCTCAAGGATAGCTGAATGGATTTGGACAAAAAGTTGGCATACATTTGGACTATGACCAAACTTAGAAATGAGTAGTTTTTGGAGGATCAAAATCATGAAAAGCCAAAAAATTCTTATCTGTTAACATGGTGGCTGATTTTTCACACTATTTTTGCTTTGTAACTCAGTCAAAAATAATCAGATTTTGATGGAACTTAGTTAACATACGCAGAATATTATCCCTCATTGTCTTGCCGAAAATGGTCCGTGTCCGTTGATAAAGACGGACATATTGGCACATTTTCGTGTTTTTTTTAGGGCCGAATATGATTAACTCTGCATGTTGCAGGTATGCGCTTTACTGAGTGCCCCTCTATATATTTTAATATTAATGCATTGATATCAATACTTAACACTTCGTTGATACTGAATATGACCATTTTGTGTTTAAAAGTTAGCTCAGCTTCAAGTTAAGTTGCAGCTGTTAATTTTTTTACAAACCTGAAAAGGGGTTAAACTATTTAAATTTAAGTAACTATAGCATTTTTTAACAGTAAATTAATTTCGAGCACACAATTACACACAACAAACACTACTGTAATAAGAATATTAGCTATGACTAAGAGCCTTCAAAAGGCTGGTATTTAACTTCAAAGTTCAAGTCTAATAAAACTAAAAATAATAAAAATTAACAATGTACTTACTGCTTCTTGTGCTCCATTTTGTTTTCAACTAGTTGTGCCACCTACAGTATCACATAACAATACAAATATAGTTTAATTTTTTAAATTACGTTTTATTTTAGACTAAAACTAGAAGTATTTAAAATATGGCTACTATTTTCATCCCTTACAAGTATATGTATTTGTAAGTATGTAAAAAAACACAGCGATGTATTTTACATCTGCCTATTGAAAGTTTTATTCTTTCGGTAGCTATAATACATTGTATTTTTAAAAAATTTTTTATCATGAGTAGTTGGAAAAGTAACCATTTTGAAATTTGTATCTAATTACGCTCATATGTGCATGTATCAGTAAAGTTCCATAATCGTAAACGGCTAAGAACTGCGTAGTATAACTTAATAGCTATCAAATTTTCATTCTTATTTGAACGTCCTCTTTGAGTCTTGACTAAAGATATTACTCATTTTACGCTGTACATAAACTACTGATATATCAGCACTTGGCTGCATCAAGAAATATTTGAATAACAAACACTCGCTTTGCATCAATAAACACTTTTAACATGGAACACTAACAGTATAAGCGTCGTTAAAATACAATTATAAAAGTCACATATCTAAGCGCATACCAGTGTGTAAAGAAAGAAACCACACTCCTTATAATTATATATATATTCTTTTTACTAAAAGCTAGAGAATAAACACGAGAAAAAAAGGAAATTCCAGTAAGAAGGCAATATTCCCCAATGCTTCAGTGATGTCTCTATTTTCATATGGATATCGACAGACCTGTCGTCTAGTATCTTAAAATAGTAACGTATTCATGTTTAATGATTATTTTGTATACACAAGTATAATAAAAAAAAATTAAATTTTATAAAGACAAGTAGGGATCGATATATATGTAATCCAACTAGCTATAGTAATATAAAAAGATTTAATGCTAAAAGAAGTATTGAAACAATAAAGTCAAAACTACAAAAATTGAGTTGCATAACATTTTAAAAATTTATCCCTAATTAGGTAAGGATAAATATTTTTTAAATTTTAAGTAACTGACTTTTTGTAGTTTTGACTTTCTTGTTTCAATACTTTTTGTAGTATTAAAACTTTTTATATTATTATAACTAGCTAGGTCACGTATATATCGATCCCTACTTGTCTTTATGAAACTAAATTGTTTTATTACACTTGTTTGTTTCTTTTTTTATTAGCTATATTTTTGTGCGCCAGCGATACCAAGCGTGGGGCACGCGTATACCTGATTCGATTTTATTAGTAATTAGTATCTTTACCAACCTAACCTCAAATCTAATTATATGCCCAAAGTAGCGCATCATCCGTTTTATGTACTTATACTAGTATCCTTTACGATACAAGAAAGGAATCATTGGGACCCCATGTGGAAGAGTTCTGTGAAAAAATTAGAACAATAAGGTTTGTTGTTTTTTCTCTACGCTTGTCATTGAAAAGTCACTTATTTATTTACTTAGATGAAAATACGTTGAAATATTAAATTTTGATTCATTCCATAAACACGTATATATCAATTTAGGTGGCTTTATAAGTACAATAACCTTTAGTTTTGCTCGTCCAATACTGTGAAATAGTCATTGTTAATATTCAAACATTTTAAAGGTGGTTTTATACGAGCGATTTTTATGGCCGTAATTTTGTTTCATCACGATCCCTACTATTAAGTACTAGTATAACGGTACTTAATTGGCTTCTACATTTCTGCGATGCTTGAATGGCTTGAAGAGCTTATGTTGATAGCGAAGAAGAACTTAGAAAATTTTAGAAAGTGGAAATTTCGACTTTCAAAAATCAACTTAAATATAGCCCTACAACCTTCGCAGGAGTTTGTTTAGTAGATGTGCATGGATTTTTGTGCAGTATACCTAGCAGTTTTTGTTGTAGGATTCAGTGTTTGAATGGCTTGGAAAGAAACTTGGTCAGTAGCGATGAAAACATTGATAAAATCCTCCATTCTCTTTCAAGAATCAACATAAAGATAGTTCCATGACCTGCGCAGGGGTTTTTTTTTTTTTTTTTGCTTACGTTTCAGTAAAATATTCTTAGCCGTTTTTTCCGTAGGCTTGTGAAACAAGAATAATATGAATAGTAATAGTATGAAGAACAAATGGATGAATTTTGAATTTAGTCTAACAATCGGAAAATCAACTTTTTGCTATTATCAGTATTTTAGCAGACTTAGCCATTGTGGTAGAAGGTCTTGAGTATTGTTTCAAGAACAAATCTGCTTTTTAAGATGGATTTTGCATGTATGTTTTATTAGAATTTTGTGAAATTCTAGGGTGATCCCTATTATGAACCGCAATCGTGGCTCACGACAACGTATATAAGTGCATTTAGTACTTAACATTACCTGGGCGCTAGTCGGGCTTCCATTTGTTCCCGACTAGTGAAGGTGGGTTTTCTCGGGGTACTCCCGTTTCCCCCCACATCAAATCCTTTGGCACTGGATCTACAGATCCCAGCCTAGGCAATTGGATCCACTGCCAGGCCCTGCAAAGGCTCGTTTGTTTCACGTTGTTTCGATAACTTGTCAAAAAACGGCTGTCTACTTACTCCTTCTTCAAGATCAACCGGCCTCTGCTACGCCTTGGACTTGCCTTGCCCTCACCTCTGCCAACTTGCATCATCATACGTATATATACGAGAATATATATTTTTTATTTATATTTTTCTCTCTCTCTCTCCCCTATTATTATTATTATTACTTCTTCGCCCATACGGCTCATTAATCCGCTGACCATTAATTGAAACTTAACCTTATGCCTCGAGCAGGGTGAAGAAGATTACCAAATTATCGAGCACCCTTGATTAGTAATTATTTCCTAGGAGGGAATAACTGCCAGAAACAACGACAACATTACCAAAAGAGGGCAGGGCGAAAACTAGGATTTTCACAAAAATTCTCCTTTATGTTTTTGTTTTTTTGTTTGTTTTTTGAATTTCGCGCAAAGCTACACGAGGGCTATCTGCGCTAGCCGTCCCTGATTTAGCAGTGTAAGACTAGAGGGAAGGCAGCTAATCATCACCACCCACCGCCAACTCTTGGGCTACTCCTTTTACCAATGAATATGGGATTGACCGTCACATTATAACCCTCCCATGACTGAAAGGG